TGTATGCACAAACATGAGGCTAGAGGCTCAATTTAATTTAAAGAAAAAAATCAAAATTGAAGCTAAGAATCTCATGTAATCTTGTGGCTCCTGAAGCTGGAGAGTTAAACATAAGAATAACAATAATTTTCAGAGGACAAAAATCTGTGAATCCTGCAGTAAACCCCTAAGAGTTGGCAAGTCACATTCAATACCCAAAGTATCCAGGCTGCAGATAAAACTACCCCCACTATAACTAAGAATAAACATTTCATATTTTTCAAGACTATTGGGTTTTGGCCAATGTTTTCCTCGACCTTGGTGTGTCTCCCAGGGCCTCGGCACCCTGCCACAAAGGGGAACTCGCCCAACTGCCGCCGTGGGCTCGGTGGGAAGGTGAAGGAAAGCCACTGGGAACACACGGGCACTGTTTCATCTCTTTTTATTGCATTTGAAATTCAGCAAGGCCAAGTGCAAAGTCCTGCCCGTGGGTCGGGGCAATCCCCAGCACAAACCCAGGCTGGGCGAGGGATGGCTGGAGAGCAGCCCCAAGGAGAGGGACTGGGGGGGTTGGTGGGGGGAAAACTGCCCGTGAGCCAGCCCCGTGCGCTCACAGCCCAGAACCCACCCGTGCCCTGGGCTGCAGCCAGAGCAGGGGGGGCAGCAGGGCCAGGGAGGGGATTGTCCCCCTCTGCTCCGCTCTGGGGAGACCCCCCTGCAGTGCTGGGGCCAGCTCGGGGGCCCCCAACAGCAGAAGGACACGGAGCTGCTCGAGCGGGGCCAGAGGAGGCCACGGAGATGCTGGGGGGGCTGGAGCAGCTCCCCTGGGAGGCCAGGCTGAGAGAGTTGGGGGGTTCAGCCTGGAGAAGAGAAGGCTCCGGGGAGCCCTTCGAGCGGCCTCCCAGGGCTTAAAGGGGGGAGAGGGGAGGTGGGGAGGGACTCTGGATCGGGGGGGTGGGGATGGGATGAGGGGTGATGGTTTTAAACTAAAAGAGGGGAGATTTAGGTGAGATCTAAGGCAGAAATTCTTCCCTGTGCGGGGGGTGAGGTGCTGGCCTGGGGTGCCCAGAGCAGCTGTGGCTGCCCCCTCCCTGGAAGGGTTCAAGGCCAGGTTGGACGGGGCTGGGAGCCCCCTGGGCTGGGGGAAGGGGGCCCTGCCCAGGGCAGGGGGTGGCACTGGGGGGGCTTTAAGGTCCAACCCAAACCAATCTGTGATTTGCTTCCTTCCTACCCTCACACATTGGACAAGGTCCCCCATGAAGGCACATTCCAAGGACAGAAACGGCTGATGCTCAAGCTGATAAAAAAAAAGAAATAGGAAGGAAAAGGCACCTAAATCTCTGATGCGATTTAACCAGAGTTTTGCATTATTTTTCTTCCAGCATGAATTACTTCATGGCCAATCTCTGCAGCACCCCTTCCTGCCTCCAGCACCCGGTGCTTGGGGGTGCTCGGGGGGGACGATCCCAGGGGATCCCCAGTGCCCGATGGCCCTGGGCTCCCGCAAGCACCGAACGTGCCGCGGCCACTGCAGGTGTTGAAGGGCCACCCAAGGGGATCGAAAACCAGCGTGGCTGGTGGCAATGGGGGCTTGAGGCCCCCCCCCCCCCATAGTATTTTCTGGGTTTAAAAAAACTAGTTTGCCAGTCTGGAGAACAGCTTTAGCTCTCCCGTCTATTGGCATGACAGCAAAACCACCCACCCGCCGGCAGAGCCGTGGGACCGCTGAAATATCACCAGCGCCCGGCGCTGACAGCGCCCGCTGTTCCCCCCGCAGCCCCCCCGGCAGCGAGGCCGGGTGGGCAGCGGCGAGGGAGAAGCTCCAAGAGCTTTGGGGTGACCGGGGGCACCGAGCCGCTGCGGTGGGTGGCTGTGCGGGGGGGGGGGGGGCAGGGTAGCAGCGTGCCAGATGGCACCTCCGCAGCTTGCGTGGGATGGAGGCGATCTTGTGCTTTTTGAGCAAAATTTAAAAAAAAATAAAATAAAATAATAATCCCAGCACATTTCTCACCGAGCCGTCTGCTCAGCCGTGCCGAGGAGCTGCGCCTTCGGGGTGACCACATCTCCCGGAATGGTCGGCTCGGTGGTGACGTTTCCAATGGGGGCGAACCCCCCAAAGCCAAGGGTGCCGCTCGCCCGGATTATTTGCCTCCGCCCTCAAGCCCAGCCCTCACGCCTCGGCTCGGCTTGCCCAGCTTCACGTGCCACTCATGGCTTTGCTCTTTGGCTGTCTGCTCAGCTGAGCAGCCTCCTAGGCTCGGATTCCTCCCTCCCTCCTGGGTCCTACCGCTTCTATGGTTTCTCCAAAAGGAAAGGGGAAAGGGGAGCTGGAAGGAGGGAGCATCCCAGCGGGGGACACGGAGCTGGAGCGAGGACCCCACGTTGCCTTCTCCAGCCCCACGCGCTCCTGGGTGCTGGATCCGAACTGCCGGGAAAGCCACCAGCTCCCAGCCCTGCCAGCTCCCACCCCAGCGTTTGGCACAGGGTGACACGAGACCCGAGAGCCGGCTCTGCCTTGGTGACGCTGGGTGACACCGCGCAGTGGGTCTCTGCTCACCCTCACCCAACCAGCCCCGGCTCTTTGCCTCTCCCGGCTCAGACCGTGCTGCGGGTGGACCGGGCGACCTGCATTGCCAGGCAGATGGCTTCACATTTGTCATCTGTGTCTGCTTAAAAAATGCAGCCAGATGGGGAAGTGGCTCTCTCCGGAGCTACCCCAGCCCCGGGCAGCCGGGAACAGCAGCCGTGCTGGGAGGCTGACCGGGGAACAACGCCGTTCCCACCGGAGAGGAGAGCTGGCACATCCCTGCTCAGTCCCAGCCGGCAGCCGCGGGGCCCGGTGCCACGGGGGGTGACGGAGCCATCTGGCTGCCGCCCCCACAGCTCAGGGTCCCTCCGTGGGCCGTGGGGAGCGGGGTGCCTTGTCCCAGCACCCATCCAGCCCAGCCAAGGACGGCTGTGTGTGGGGACACGGGCTGGGCCGGGGGTGACACCCATCAGCACCGTTCGCAGGATGGGATGTGCCTTCCTTTGGCGAGGGCAGGATTTGGGGCTGGGGTTACTGGTGAGCAACTGTGAGTCAGACCGGGAGCAGCTGCCGCACAACTCGGTCAGGAAAACACGTCTCCTCCTGCGTGAGCCCCTGTAGAGAACCGCCCGCTCCGATGCGCTGCCGTTGCCCGGCGGCAAGCGGGGTGCAGCCCACCCGCCCCTGCAAAGCGCCCGGCCGCGGACCACATCCCGCTCATGCCATGGCCTCTGCTTTTCTTCCAATCTCTGTTTCAGACCACTAAAACTCAGGGCCAGGGACCAGGAATGCCATCTGGGGCCGGTGGGAGGGGGGACACAGATGCCACCGGGCAGGACCCCGGGGAGGGTCGGAGCATCACCGCGTGCCCTTGCCACGGGCAGCCGGAGCAGAGCTGCAGCTTCTGATTCCCCGAGGAGCAGCCTGGGGTCAGGGAGCGGAAAAACCCACCTCAGCAGAGCTAAAGCTGCATCGAGGTGCCCTGAGGGTGCCCACCCAAGTGCACCCAGCCACTAGACGAGGAAATTCCCCCGACAAGTCCTAGACGAGCCGCTTCTGGGCTCATTCACCTTTTCCCCTTCTGCTTTCGGTGCTTTTCCCCCCAGGACCCCCCAGCTGCTCACAGCCGGGCTCTGTGGTCCCCGAGGGGTCTGTCCTGCTCCCCCACTGCAGGGACCACACATCTCTGCTCTCCGCCTCGTTGCTGATTTTAGCAGTTCGCACCCACAGAAGATGCCGTTTCCCACTGACAAGTCACAGCCAAATACCCAGCTGAGGCAGAGCTCGCCCGGCAGCAACACAGCAGGGCACGTGTCACTACTTCCATTAAACCCCCCATTTTTCACAAGAAATTTTCAGGTCTGGGATCTTCCCGAATTTTCCCCGTTGAGGGAAACGCACAGATTTTTTCACAGGGAAGCGTCTCGGTCGAGGCGACGCGCTGCCAAAGCACGACTCACCGAGGAGCTGACATTTCACAGCAACATTTGGCAAAATGATTAATTCAGATTATCGCCCCGTGGAGCTGGGCCTTGCCAAACCGGTGATTTATGCCGGGCTCAGTCATCCTGAGCACAGCGGAAAAGGCTCTGAAACGCGGAGGATTCCGGGGGCCAAACGCCATCCGCCGGGGCGGTTGCGTGTGGGAGCGGATAGAGGAGGGGGCTGTGCATCCCCCCACCCTCTGTGAGTCGCAATTTTGCCGGTGTTCACACCAAAACCCTGCAGCCCCCCCTCTCCTCCCTAAAACCCCCCAACCCATGCAGGCCACCCCTGGGGCTGCAGCCCCCCCGCACACCCGCAGCCGCCCTGTGCCCCCAAAGCTGTGGTGACACAGCGGCTGCTGCGGCCGCATCCTGCCAGCGGGGAGGGACGGGACTGGCCCAGCACCTTCCACCAGCACCCCCCAGTGCCCCCCCAGCACCCCCCCGGTGCTGCACTGAGCCCCAGGGCCAGGCGGGGTGAGGCTGCGGTTCCTCCGCTGTGCCCCACAGCTGCCTCTGTTCGACTCCAGTTGCAAATATTTGAAGCGTTCTTTCTCATTATGAACGCTAAATTAAAGCATTATTGCTAATTAAAGCTTGCAATGCCTAATAATTAAAGTGATTATTTGGCTTGGAGGTGTCCAGATCCCCCCAGCCCTGACCCCGCAGTGCCTTGGGGACAGTGCCGGCTACAACGGGACATACAACAGCCCTTGGCTGTGCACCCCAGGATGGGGCTGAGCCCCCCAGCTCGGGCCGGACCCCCCCAGGGGTGCTGGCTGCGGAGGGGGTGAGCAGCTCCCGCCCCACCGGTGACCCCCCCAGCACACCTCTCCCCCCGGGCTATTCGGGGGTCTGTCAGTGGTGGGTGAACTGAGAGCATCTGGGGGTGCAGCGATGGGCCCCCCCTCCCTGCCTGGGAGCATGGGGTCAGGACAGGCACCCCACTGTTGTGGGGGGTCCCCTCTGCACCCCCTCCTGCCCGGGAATGAAGGGGTCAGAGCCGGGACTTTGAAACTCCAAGCTTTATTCAGTTGCTTCGGCAGCGGCGGGCATCACACGGGGGGAGGCGGGCGGCGAGGCCGCGGGGGGGACAGCGGCGGCCGGGGGAGAGCTTGCTCCGCTCCCCGCGCCCTGGCACAGGCCGGGGGGGTCTAGTTGGTGGGGTGATAAGCACCACGCTGGTGCCACTGCATGTCCCGGATGCGCCTGACCGACTGGATCTGGGGGTGCTGAGCGCCGAAATCTGAGCTGTCCTTGTAGTCCCCTTTTTCAAACAGGTACTGGTAGCCCCTGTAGCCGGGGTACTGGTAGCCCACCCACCTGCCAAGGCAAGCACGGAGGTCACCCACCATCGCCCAGCCCAGCAGCCACGGCACGGCCGCATGATGCTCTGGCATCGCCTGGGTCCTGGCACCCCCCACCCCGCTGCGCCCCGGTACTCACGTGCCGCTCTGCACCCGCACGGATGAGACCTTCTCCTGGTAGCCGTGTGCGTGGAAGCTGGGCACATCGTCGTCTATGATCTCGATCTTCTTGCCGGTGAAGCTGGGGTTTTCATACAGCACAATCTTGTGCTCCTGGCTGTCCTGCAGCGAGGAGAGCAGAAACGGGGCGTCAGCAGCCGCCGGCACCCAGAGCTGGGCAGGGTGGGGGGGGTGAAGGGGCAAAGCCCAGGGCTCTGGGGAAACCGAGGCGGGGGGCCGGCCCCGCGTGCTGCCGCTCCCACCGCTGCCAGGGGGGCTCCGCATCCCTCTGCCCAGCTCAGAGAGCCGGCACCTGCGGGGATGCTGCCGGACTTACCGGCGGGCATCCTCCGCTCTGGGGTCACCTGCCCCCGTCCCCGCGCCCCCCTCCGACCCCCCCACCGGCTCCCCGGGCCCCAGGGGCTGGGGCGAGGGTGCGCAGGAGGGGGTGCCCCTCCGCCCGCGGGGCTGGGGAGGGCGGGGGGGGAAGGCTGGGGAACACTTCTGGCTGCAGACCTTGGTCTGGCGGGTGGGTAGTGGCTGTCTGGGTGCTCTCACCACTTTGATGGGTCTCAGGGAAGTGATGCTGTCGCTTCTCCGGCTGTTGGTCCAGGAGTCCCAGCGGGGGTACTCCCCCTTCTCAAACACAAACTGCTCCCCTTTGCAACTTGCCTGCTCGTAGCCCACCCAGCTGGAAGAGAGCAGGGGATGGGCTGCAAATGGGGCAGCGGGGCAGGGACCGGCACCCTGGCTCTGCCCGGCAAATGCCCCCACGCTGAGCCCCCAGCCATGACCCCCCCCCGGCAACGCACAGGCCCCTCTGCTCGGTCGATAAATAACAATGAGCATCACGGTGCCCAGCGAGGTGCCAGGGTGGGAGCTGGCAGCCCTGCCTGCAGAGCAACACCTACATCCAGCACACAAAGCTCGGCCACGGCACCGCGGGATGCTCCGGCGCGGCGGCCGCCCACCCCTGGTCCCCGGGGACCCGCAGAGGACGGGGTCACCCGCACGGATGGGGCTGTGCTCCTGCCAGGGTGCTCCGCAGCCGCCCCGTTGGTGCCGGGTGCGGGCAGGGAAATCCCCCCCCCTCCCCGAGCACTTCCCCCAGTGATTTTCAGGGGCTCCCCATTGGGGGGGAACCCCAGCCCCTCTCCGAGGGCTCAGCAAGCGGACGGGGAGCGAAGGTGCTGCTGGCAGCACCGCTGAACGAGTGCTGTCCCCGCGCCCAAAGGGAAGAAAAGCAAATTGAGGGGAACGGCGTGATCTGAGCTCCCTCCCCTCCCACCGAGCAGGATTGGGGTTCCCGCCCCCCAACCCGCCTCAGCGCTGGGCACCCACAGGGACGAGGTGGGGAAGCAGCACGGCAGCGTTGGCAGCATGAAATCCAGGGTGCGGTGCAGGTGCTGGCAGCGGGGAGATCCCCTCGGCATCCCAGCCCCTGCCACCCTCCTGCACACCCCCACGGCCCCCCAGACCTACCCCCCTCCCCCCCCAGGGCACGTACGGTCCGGAGTGCACGAGGATGGAGCCCACTTTGTCCACGCCGGCTTCTTTCAGGTTGGGGCAGGCACCGCTGAGCTCATGGCAGCGGCCCTGGAAGTTCTCCTGCTCGAAGATGGCAATCTGGGAGAGAGCGGGGACCTCAGAGCGGGGCACGCCGCCCCCCGCCACCGTGATGGGGGGCACACGCCGCCCCCCGCCACCCCCTCAACCCAGACCTCGCACTGCCCTCCAAAAAAACCTGCCCGGTGGTGGTTTTTAACCAGCCTGCGAGCATAAACCAACATTTCCATCCATCTGGGCTGGTCAGTGAGTCCCCACCGGTGCCGGCCCCGGGGGGGAGGGTGTCTGTGCTCACACCAGGCACCCAAGCAGCCTGGGCTCCGGCGGGACACAGTGAGCAGGGCACCCAGCACACACGGGGGGGGGGGGGGCACCGGGGCAGCCCCCGGGGGGGGCCAAGCGCTGCCAGCTCAGCACCGATTTCACGGATCAGCGGGGAGCGGATCTGCTGCGTCCGCAGAGGTGGTGGGAGACTGGGAGTTGATCCGGATGCCAGGAAAATCCCCGTGCGTCTCCCGCCCCGCTTCCCCATCCCTCTGCAGACAGCTCAGCACCGCAGCCGGCGACGCTCAGCACCAGCACGGCCGCAGCTCAGCTGCTCCCAGCCCGGCCGGGGCCCTGCGGCATCCCGGGGGGGATGATGTGGGTGCTCGGGGAGGGGGAGGGTGCCCCGGCCCTGCCGCAGAGCGGAGGAGAAGCCGCACACTGACCTTGGAGCTGGCTTGCTGCTGCTTGGAGGCTGGCATTTGGTGCTCGGAAGCCATCATAAGCTGGGTTGTCCACTGCCTTGGGTGGAAAACTCAGGAGGTTGAAAGCTGCCACTGAGAACGCAGCGGGGACTGTGGGTGCAGCCCCACGGCCATACCCCACGCTGGGGTGCTGGGTGCTCCCCGCTGCTGAGCCCCACGGAAAGGGGTGCCGGGGCTCGGGCTGGCGGCGGGGTGGGCGCAGGCTGGGTTTGCCAGGCCCAGTCCCCGCTCTGGGCTGCTCAGCACCACTCGCTCGCAGGATAAACCTCCCCAGGCTCGTGGAGGAGCCCGGGTGACGGTCACAGCCCAGCATCAACCACGATGGGACCTGCAAAGGGTCTCCAGCCTGGAGCGAGGGGACCTGTGAGCCCGGTGCGTTCCCAAGTCGTTCCCAGGGGAGCCCAGCCCCACGCACCGAGGCTTTTCCCACTGTCCCTGCCCAGCAAGTGGCAGCCGAGGAGTCCCTGTCCCGTGTGGGTGCCTGACAGGGACGAGCACCGGGGCACCCAGAGCCAGCTCCGGCCGTGCATGTGCCGGGTGGCCAGTGCTGAGCCCTCCCGGCTGCACCTGCCACAGCCACCCCTACAAAGGACCCTCATCCTCGAGCCCTGCGGGACCCCACCCCGTGTCTGAGCAGGCTCCAAACCAGGTGAAAACGGCTCATTCCCACTAAAACCAAACCCGAGCCGCAGCCGGGCGGCAATACTCCTGAGCTGGCCACCCGGTTTGGGCTGCAGGGACGGGACTGTCCCCGTGGGTCACCCCCCTGCGTGCCTGCACCCCGCTGCCGCCTCCGCACCTCTGCCCGGCACTGCGGGAGGGAGCGCCGGCGCCAGGGGTCGGGAGGAGGCAACGACAAAAAAGAGGGCAATAAATAGAAAAGTCTTACCAGTTATACCAGTACCCGCTTGAGCCAGTGAAGGGCCACGGCCGAGAGGTGGAATTTATACCGAGCTGCAGAAGAATGGTGCCAAAACTATTTACAAAATAGTTAAAGCATGATTCAAAGCGAGAATGCTGGATTAAAACCTAATGAAAACCAAGGTCAGCTGATCAGCCGCAGCCTTTGTCTCCCCAAACACCAAGTTGGGGAGTTATTTCATTAGCTTTCACATTCGAGTTGCCCGCTTTGTTGAGTTTGTTGGCAAGGAGATTTGGAGTTTGCATGCATCAGCCGAATGCATGCCAAGACCCAGACCGGCCCTTGCAAACAAAGCCCCCGCCAGCCCTGCTTCAGGAGTTTTGGAGCCAGACACTTTATCCCTCCAACAAACGGGCGAGCGGCCCCCACCGCTGGAACTGCCGAAAACTGCTGAAGTTGGCTCTTTCCATGCGCGATAAAAACGAGCCTTCAAATAACCGGTGAGCGTCTGGCTTTGCCCGTCTGCCTCCCCGGCAATCGAGCGCCCACGGCCGGTGCCAGAGCCGACGCCGGCGCTGCCGCGGAGGGACCCTGCCAGGCTGCCGGGCCTGGGGTGGGGGGCACCCAGGGATCCCCTTCCCGTGCCCACCCGGGGCGTCGGGGACGGGCAAGGGGCAGGATCTGGCCCTGCTGACACGATGCCGTGGGGCAGCACCCTCAGCCTGGGCTGCGGGGGCACCCGGGCACCAGGTGTTGGGCTCCTTCTCCGCTATCCCCCCACCCTTTTGGGGTCCCCGAGGAGCATCCCGGCCCCACGGGGCAGCAGGAACAGCAGAACTGAGACCCCTCTGACACCCCGGGACACAGCCGAGGCCAGCGACAGCACCTGGGACGTGTCCCCACAGCCCGGGGATGAGCTGAGGGTTAAAGGCAGCAGCAAAACCCCTTCGCTGGCATCTTGCTGCCGGCTGCCCCGGGGAGACATGTCAGGGCTGGGGGCTCATTTTGGTTGCAGCAAAGTGAGGTTCCCGGGGCGGGAGGGAGGACAACAACATGGCTATCAGACTCCCCGGGTGCTGTGCAGCACCCACAGCCCCCTCTCACCCCCCCTCCCCGAGCAGCGGGATCCCCATTGTCACCCCAGGGAGTGACACACAGTGTTAACGTGGCCCAGGCCAGCTCTCTTCTGCACGCAACATTTCAGGGGGGTCCCCGCACCCCCAGCAGCACCTCTGGCTGCTCCCCCCAGCCCCAGCACGGCCCCACGCAGGGTCCCCCCCGCTGGGGTGTTGCTCCCAGAGCCTGCCCTGGCAGGGACACACAGAGGGGTCTGTCCCCACGGTTGTGGGGGAGCAGCCTCGGGGGCCTCAGGACACCCTGTGCCTCTGCAAAAAAAAAAAAAAAAATCTTGCCACGCCACGGGTAGGTTTTAGCAGGTTGGGTTTGTGACCTACACCGCTCCCAGCCCTGCTGCCGTCCTCCTCCATTCCCTGTGCCTCCGGCTGCGGCACCGCAGAGGGATCCAGCCACTGCCCTCCCCGTCTTTTGGGGCTAATTCGTAGCGGTCCCCAGCCCAGGACCCCTGGGGACCAGCCTTGGGTCCCAGCGCAGGGCAGGGGCATCCCCGCGGCTGCCAGCCAGTGCATCCCAGTGAGCGACAGGCACGGTGCTCAGCGCGGCTCCTGCCGGGCTGTGATTCCTTCCCCTCGGCTCTGCCGGGCCCGTTTCGGCTCATCTCGGCCTCGGGCAGTGGCGATGCCACCAGCAGCCACCCAGGGACCTTCCTGGAAGCAGATTTTGCCACTCAGGACCACACAATCTCCTTTAATAGCTGCAAACCCGGATCCAAAATAGAAAAGCTTTAGGGGGGCGGCACCAAGAGCCCAGGCAGCCTCGAGCCCGTCTCTCACCTCTGCACCAGCCCCGGGGGGGGGGGGTCCCCAAGCGCGGGCGCTGTGCCCTCAGGGCAGGGGGGATGCTCTGCATCCTGTCTGGATGAGGTTGCTCCGTACTGGGATGCCCAGCTCCCTGCCAGCATCCTCGGGGTCCCCCCCCCCCACTTCCACAGCAGAGAGATCAGCCCCAGGGAGCAACAACCCTGGTGCGGTGGGGAAGCTTCCTCAGGGCTGGGCTGGGGGCTCTGGAGGGTGCTGGGGCCAGGCCCAGCCCTCACCCTGGGGGACGATTCCCTCTTTGGGGGGCACAAGGCCTGGCACCGCCCAGGAACAACTGCTCTCCACCTCCCCCCTTGCTGCTGGAGACACCCCTGAGGCTGCCCGGGGCCCCCAGGACCCCCCAAGCCACCACTCTGCCCTTTGGGCTGGATGCCCTCCCGCAGGGGAGCAGAGGCAAGGGGGGGAAGGAGCCGCAAGCAGAGCTCCCCCAGCCCCAGGAGATGCTTTGAGAAGGGGCAGAGTCACGGGAAAAACCCTTGGCAAGTGCCCCAAGACACACTCCCCCCCCCGCCCCAGGGGGCTGGGCTGTCCCCAACGCAGGGCTCACCCCCCAGCAACACCAGTACCCAGCCACAGCCCCACTGCGGGCTATTTTTGGAAAGCTGCAGCCTTTATGTAACATTGCAAGTCCTCTCCCTTCCCCGGCTTTTCCTCTGCACGGGAGATGCTGGGGGCACTGCCATGGCCCCCCCTCGCCCCATCTCCACCCCATCCCTGGACCGCAGCTCCCCTCACCACACCCCACCACGAGCACAACCCCAGCCCAGGACCAGCCAGGCCCCCCATCAGCCTCCAGCTCAGAGCTTTATTGAGGTTTTTGCACAAAAAAAAAAACCACCAAGGTCACGGCCTCAGCCGGCGGCATCGTGTCAGCCGGCCCCTGGCCCCGGGTGGGGGACACACACAGGGCTGGGGGGGTCCCTCAGCTGTTCTCGAAGCAGCCCCGCTGGTGCCACTGCTGGTCCCGCACGCGGCGCACGGACTGGATGAGGGGCTGGTTGGCATCCCACTCGTTCCAGTGGCGGTACTCGCCCTTCTCGAAGACGTGCTGGCGACCCCGGTACCCCGGGTACTCGTAGCCCACCCACCTGCAGGGAACGGGGGCAGCACTCAGCAGGGCCCCGGGGGGTGCTGCTGCAGCCCCCCTCCCCCGCCCAGGGGGTACGTGTGTGTGTCCCCAGGAGTGGGAGGGCAGCATCCCCCCGTGTCACCCCCGAGGCTGTGCCGGTGCCTCTGCCCGACGCTCCGCAGCGCTGCTCGGGGACCACGGCGCTGTCACCACCAAGTGCCACCGCCACGAGGCTGCAGCTGCAGAGTCCGGGTGGGAAACGTCATCGTGGCGAGACCCCAGGGGCAGGGAGAGCCCTGGGTCGGGGCGAGGAGCCGTCACACAGCCCCGGTTCCCCATCGCTCCCCGCAGGCCGTGGGGAGGGAGCAAGGGACACGACGGGCACGAGCAGCAGCGTGGGGACGGCCGCCCCGTCCCCGCCGCAGCGGTTGCACCAGGCATCCCTGCCACCACCCCAGCCACGGTGCCACGGGACAGGACCCCACGGGGGGTGTCCCCGCTTGCCCCCGCCGGTGCCACCGTCCTTACGTTCCGTTCAGGGCCCTGACGCTGGCCACGCGGTCCTGGAAGCCATGGGCCCAGAGGCTGGGGACGTCGTCGTCCACGATCTCCATCTTCCTCCCGGTGTAGCCCGCGTTCTCAAAGAGGTGGATCTTGTGGTCGGGGCTGTCCTGGGGGAACGCAGGGGTGAGGGGGTCCCCGCCCTGCCCTGCGCACCCCCCAGCCCCGACACTCCCATGGCTGCGGCCGAGCTGCTTGTCCCCAGGGGCACAGACACCCCAAGGCAGCCGCTACTCACGATCTGGAGGGGGCGGATGGACATCAGGCTGTCGCTGTTGTGGCTGTTGGACCAGGAGTCCCAGCGCGGGTAGTCCCCTTTCTCCAGCACAAACTGCTCCCCGGCGAAGGCTTGCCGCTCGAAGCCCAACCACCTGCGGGACCGGGGGGGGTCGGGGATGGCATGGCCGGGGGGAGGAGCACCCCCCAGGGACTGCTCCCCACCAGCGGGATGCAGGGGATGCTCTCCCCGCTCCCCCCACCCCACCCCAGGGCTTGTCCATCCTCCACCCCCCGGACTTACGGGCCAGACTCCACCTGGATGGAGCCCACCTTCTCCAGCTCCTTCTCGGTGATGTTGGGGAGCTCCTCTGTCAGCTCGCACTTCTTCCCCTGGAAATTCTCCAGCTCGTAGATGGTGATCTAAAGTGGGGAGAGACGCCGTCAGCCGCTGCTGTGGCCGCTCGGGGGGAGGGGGAAGCCCCCTGCCCCAGCACAGGACCCCCCTCGGCAAACGCCAGCAGCAGCAGAGGGAAGTGCCCCAGCAGCATCCCCGCCATCCCCCACGGCTGAGCTGGATCCTGCCACGTGCCTCTGCCCCGGCAGACGGCTCCCGGGCCGCGCTCCGCAGCCGGGTATTGGCCAGAGAGGTTTGCTTGGTAAAACACAGGCTGATATTTCATCCGTGACAGGCTGAAAACGAGCTGACCAGCTCAAACACAGCATTGAAAACACAGAGGGTTGGCGCTAAGAGACCTCTGGGACCGTGGACTGCGGTCTCCTGCCCCCAGCCCATCATTTCCTAATCACTGCTCCTCCAGACCCATCCATTCCCCTCTCCCAGCCTGGCACAAGCTCATTATTTAGTATTTTCCTCTAAACCCTGCTGGATGCAGAGACCACAAGACCTCCCCGGGCCCTCCTGCTCTCGGCAGAGCTTTGGGGCTGAGCTGCAGGACGAGCGGCCAGAGCACAGCGGGGAAGGGGGGCCTAGCACGTTTTTGGGACCAGGAGGGTGGGCACAGCAGCCAGGCTGAGCACGCCTGCGGCCAGGCACCCCCCGGCCCCTGCCCCAAAGGGGTCCCAGCCGAACCCCCCGAGCCCAGCACAACGGCAGAGCCTCCTGCAGACACCGCAAGATGGGGGCGTATCAAGGGACAGAGGGGACACCCGTGGTCCTCAGGAATTTCTTGCCACCCCCAAAGCAATAAGCACTCCAAGCTCCCAGCACCTCTCCACCCCATTTGCAGGATCTGCTCCCACCTCCAGCCTTCCCCGGCCAGGAGCGGCTTTGCCCGGCTTCCCGTGCTGCAGGAAGGGCTGCAGCCATTGCAACACCCACAGCTGATTTACCTCTAACCGACCTACAAGCGTAAGAATTACCACCTAAAAAAAAAAAAAAAAAAACACCAAAAAACCACATAAGGAGTTTTACTGCTCAACCCTACAGCCGATCCCCGCCGTGACGGGGTAGTTTATCTCCTGGATTGAAACGCTGCGCAGCTGCACACCGGACCGGCAGGCAAAAGCACTTGGCAGCCACAAACGCAGCGAGCAGCGTCTCCTCCTGCCAGGCAGCGGCAAATCCGGCGGCTGAAGCCTCCCTCCCCGGCGCGCAGCTCGGCTCGCCGGGCGAGGAGCAGATTTCTCAGAGCGGTGCCACCGACGTGCTGCTGCATGAGGGGAGCCGGAGGCTGCTCGCTTCCCCAGCCTGGACGCTGGGACCAGCCTGGTGCACGCACGCTGCAACGCCCGGCGACCTGCAAAGTCCATCCGTAACCAGTTGCCCCCAGTATACCTTGTAATTGCCACCACGCTCGCCAGCACCCTCCCCAGTCGCCATCTGCTCGGGGGGACTTTGTTGCTCGGTCATTGTGCCTGGAAAACCCAAATTGGAGGAGGTTAACACAGCATTGCTTTTAAGCAGGTATCAGCCTTTATAATTATAAAGTGCTTAATAAAATAGGAAAGAAGCTGGCGTGGGAACGGGCAGTGGTAGTTAAGACGGCTCCCCCTGAACGCAGCGGCTGTAAATCCCCAGGGGTGTCCAGGCTGGCAGGAACGCTCCGTTATCCATCCTCCTCTCCCTCCTGCACGCGGGCCCTGCCTCCTTGCCACGGGGCCGCAGAGCCCGTCACCAACCCAAGCCACTTCCCAGTGACACAGTGACACGGCCTCCCCCCCCCCCCGCCCCTGGACAGCTCGCCCAGGTGCTCGTTAAACCCATGTCCATCAACCCGTCCTTCATCTCCAAACCCAACAACCGGGTTTCGGCTGCTGCCGTCTTTCCCTGCTAACTTCAACCTGACGGTTCTTCCCTTGCTGCCGCAGCCCGGGGGGCATCGGACCCCCCCGCAGCGAGAGCCCCCTCCTTGCTCCCCAGGAACATCTCACCAAGTTCCCACTCAGCTCGGAAACGCACGCCTGCTCTCACCCCGCTAACGCGAGGGGGTGGCGAGAGGTTAATACGAGATGAATAAAAGAAACCGAGTTTGACCGGCGTCCTTCATCAAAACCCTTGCAGCGTCACTTCTCGCCAAGCGTTAGCAAAACATTCGCGCTAGCGAGACCTCGACTCAGACACGCTAATTCTTTTTTAAAGCCCCTTCCAGTCCAAGCAGTGCTGCCGCTACCTCTCCCGGCGTGGTTCCGCTCTGCCGGCCGGCGCGGGTGGCCCTGCTATTTATGGGTTGCTTCTGAACAGAACAGCACATTATTTGGACGCTGATACAGCAGCTGCGTCCACTGAATTCCATCCATGAGATTTCATCTCAATAGCGCGGGCTCGCAGCGCGCTATGGAAACGTTATTCAGATTTCTCCCGGCTGTCCCTTAAAAATGTGCCACTCGATTTACAGAAGATTAACGTCGAAATTCGCATCAGCACGTTCACGTCGCTTCTTGCCAGGTTCTCTGGAAAACTCTCCCGTCAGCAGCTAAGGGCAGGGTTTAGCCTGGAAACTGAGCCCAGCGCAAAGCAAAAAAAACAGTGCAAAATATTTACAGCTTGTTTGGGCTCGAACGCGAGACGAGATGCGGAGTTGGTGTTGGCTCTGGGGAGCTCGGCGGGGCTGGCAGGTTCAGGTTCTCGCCTCCGTTGGGACCCTCCCCGGGAAGGTTCCCTCCACTGAGCCCCTTTTCCTCCTCCTCACCCCTCTCCGCGTCCCACGCTGCGTGTTTCCTGGGAGCACCCACCTGCACGCAGGGGCTTTGGGGAGCCCAGCGCCCCGGCCACGGGCTGATCCTTCTTTCCAGGCAAAGCACGAGCTAACGGGGGGGGAGGGGGTCGGGCAGCCCCTCTGCACCAGATTCCAAACCAAGAGCATCGATGGGGCCCAATTCTTCCGCAGGGAGCACCAAGCTGCCTTCAACCGCACAACCACTGCTCTTAGGGGGCTTTGACCTGCTCCTCGCGCATCTCGCCTCAAAACTAAGAGCTACACACAGCACGTTTACCAAAACTGCCGAAAAGCCACTCCGCCAGGACAGGCTGGGCAAAGGTGAAGTTGGGCTGGTTGGAGGGGGCCGGGAAGCTGCCCCGGCACCCAGACGGAGCTCTCCACCGCAGCGCTCCGCGCGTCTGAGCCGCTCCCGGCCAGGCTCCTCGTCCCCCCCCCTCACCACTGCCCGGTGCCGCAGGACAAGAGAAGTGACCCCCAAAATCCGGCATCCCTAAGGGAGCCCGGGCGCAGGGGCACCACCCAAACAGCGTTTTGTACCTGCAAAGACCACTTTTATTGCAGTTCCTTGTCACATTGTCATCTTCTCTTTGAATATGAAGCTGCTTGTCTGTAAAATAGGAAACGGCTTCTGTACAGGAGGACTCAAAGGAGACCATGGAACGGGTTGTTTCTTTTTACCAAACACGATAGCATCTGTTTTCAACGCATTAGAAATGCAGAATTTTTCTTACCAGTCCACTCCTTGCCAGGCTCCCCGTGACACTTTGCTCCTCAGGGGCTGCGGTGCCCATGAATCTTCCTCTTTCCCAAACTCACAGAGCTTCCACACCGATATGGCAATTGCAAAAACATGACAGAAGGGGCACTAGATCTCACCGATTTGTCTTTCGAACAGAACTCAATTTCCTTTCGCTGTCAGTCTCTTAAATCCCTTTGAGAAATGCTTATAGTATATTGTTAAAAAATAGATGTTTAAAAAAAAAAATGTGGTAAAGCTAAACTTGAATCATAGTTGTACAGTCTAATACACAACAGCAAGAGTATCTTTATTACTTAGGAGATTATTTAGTACAAAATATATTCTGTAGCACAACACATTTATTCTGGCCTGTATTTACATACTCTATAAGGCTGCGTGGAACGATATAAAATTTTAATTTATACAATAGCGCCTTTAAAAACAAGCTTGGGGTTTAATATGGAAAGAGAAAAATCCGTAAGCCATTAGGCCTCGTCTCTCCTCTGTCTCCAACCCCACCAGCAGAATCAGAAGTTACCCATCTGAGCTGGTTTTGCAAGAACACTCTGGGCTCGGCGGCTGGCTGTGCGTGCCGGGGGCCAGCGCTTGCCCTGAGCAGCTCCCCCCTAAGCCCAGATCCCCACCACTCGCCCTCCACCCGCACCAGCACCCGCAGGACCTGGGTGCTGCAGCTCCGGCTGAGAGGCCTCGGAACCCCGAACCCCCAAATCCACCGAGGCTGGTTTCTACCCCAAAAGCCCTCTCCTCCCCCAAAGCCCACCTTTGGGGTTTTTTTTTGGTTGTTGTTTTTTAATTCACACCAGGACCTAGGAAAAACACCAGCTGACAGCTCTCACGAGCGCAGAGCTCAAGTCGATGCAAAAATGAACATTTGCTTTTGCTTCACGCCGGAGAGCGCGCCCCCCCCCCCCCCACCGGGGCCACTGCGCTGCATCCCCACCCGGGGGCTTGCACGAGTGTCCTTCAGCTTCTCGCCCCGGGTGCCCCTCCCCAAACACACCCCCCCCCCCCAGCTCCCGGCAGGACGAGCCGTCCCCGGTTTTACCGTTCGAGGTCGGGAACCTGCGCTCAGCAAACCCCCGCCGGCGCGGCACGCCCGGAACTCCGCGCTGCCCCGGCTCCCAAAGCGCCCCGCTCGACAGACCTCCCCCCCACACACCCACCCCGCTTCTCCCCAAAGCTCACCCCCAGGTCTGCCTCTGCAGCTTTTAAAGCTTTTTATTTAAACTACCTGTACGGCATTTGTCTTAGAACTGCCCCGATCCCCACCGAGCTGTCTCGGTGTATCAGCTCCTCACTGAGCACCTGGACATCAAACCACACCCTCGGTTTAAGGCCTAAGACAGGAGGCGTATTTGAGGGTGTTTGCACACGTATTAAAGGTTATAAATGAACAGACGCTGCTGCGCCCGATGAACTGGCCGATTAGCAGCCTGCATCCGTCAATCCGACACACAGCGCGTTTAACAGCTTGCCAATGATTGTTTGTAAACAGCAGGGTGAAGCAAACTTTTGTGCAAACGAAAAGGTGGGGGGGTTTAATTCCTTCAGGGCCACTTTATAAGAAGGTTTCAGACTTCAAAGGCTGAAGAACAGAAACGGTGCTTCTTTCTCTGCAGGAAGTAAAAGCAAAGCAGCGAGAGTCTGAACGGCTAAGGACTCAAATTATAGCTACACAGACCTTAAAGAGGTGAATTTGCAAAAAGGGGGGGAAAAAAAAAAAAAAAAAAAAAAAAGGTATGAATCCACAACTTGGGATTCCAGTAAAAAGAAACAGAACGGCAGAGTAAATCCCCAGTTGACAAACTAAAATGGAGAGAGGATTCCTGGTAATAATGAGAGAAAAATGCAATCAGAAAAGAAGTATTTCCAAATCCCACAGACCATGTACTTCCACTTTTAAAAAACCACTACTCCACTGATGCAGCTTTTTAAGCAAGCAAAAAAAGCTGAGCAGCTGGAACGGGAGGGATGAGGATGCTGCACTCCCCAGGATCTCCATCACGTTCGTTATTGCTCAGACACTGTTAGGACAAGAGCTGAAACCTGCTCTAAGCCAGGTTCCAGAATTAATGAAAAAGCATACCTGAGGAAAGTGCTGAAGCCAAGAGCTCACTCCCCTCCTGTATTACCAGCCAAAAAAAAAAAAAAGTACGTGGCAACAAAAGTGTAAGAAATTCCACAAGCATTATTTGGAATGAAAATAGAATTATATAAAGTGTATTACAGTATGGTCTCTCATTTAAGAAATAGTAACATATTTATAGATCTTTTATTACATAGAGATAACCTGAAGAGAAGGAAGTAGATATTTAATTCATGTACACTATAAAGAAATGATAGAGCAGAAAAAAACACTTTCCCATTCGACGACATTCTAAAGATGGTTTTTAATTAGACATTTAAGCATTAAACATTTCTCAGTAGTAGGTTAAACTACTAAATACAGTAAGTTTCAGTGCATTGTCCAAGCAGATGTGGAAATGCATACACATTCAAAGGGCTTTGTGGAAACCTAGCATTAATCCCCTCAGTTTCCTCAAACACAGAGCAAACACTGCAGTTACAGAATTTCTGGCCTTCCTTTATTAGACCAAAAACCAGTAAATCCTCCAACTATTGGTAACGCAACACTGTCAGCCTGCTGAATTCGAAAATCAAGCCTGTGTAAATATTCTCGTAAGCAGGGGGAATTTACCTGATTTCTAGGTACAGTTTAAAGTAAGCCCCACTTCATCTGAGTAACGGTAAGGAAAGCAATCGCCGCCTCCCACGCCTGCACACGCTGCTGCTCAGGGCTGGCCGAGGTGTGTGTCGCACGGGGTACGCGGCTGGCGGTACCCTCGAGTGCTGCCATAAAAAAAAAAAAATAAAAAAAAAAATCCCAAAAGACACATATGCAAGGCTTATCTCCAAGTTGCCTTTTCCACCATCATCTAAAGAAAAGGGAAGAAGAAAACATGTGCAACGTCTTAAAATTAGCCAAGAGGAGCTCTTCCAACAGTCTGGTCGACCGCGTTCAAGTGGAAGCCCGTCGCCCTTCGCCCAGGGTTAAAAGCCACAGGGAGTGAAACGCTTGGCAGAAATCTTGGGTGATCGTTTCTTAATTGGGAGCAGAAGGGGCTGTAAAACTGTAACGGTGGCAACAGCTCTGATGTGAAATAGGGCAAAGCAGCAAGTAAAGATTTTTTCACACAAGAGAAACGTATGCGTTGCATCTCCATTAAGGACAGGGAGCTGCTATCGGAACTAAATCTGGGAGAGAGAGATGCGCATATGGGACTTGTCTCCTGACATACTGCTGTTATTTCCTACGAGCAGACTGGGACTAAAAATCACCTCATCTGCGACTCCTCCATGAGAAGAATTGGCACATGGTTTTGGCAGCTACAAGCTTGATAGACAGCAGACCAGGCATGCCACTCTGGCTAGCAGATGCACCATTGTGGTAACCCCACGTAAATCAAGCTTTCCGAAACGCTGATCATTAAACAACAAAAAAAAAAATTTGGAAAAAAAAAAAAAAAAAAAAAAGGAAAATGAGTTCAAGTGCTGGTGCTTTATCTTTAATATCTAGAAAAGCCCATCAGCAGGACGGGGGATGCGCAAGGCGAGGAGCAGCCTCTGCTCTGGCTTCGCGCTTTGCTTTTCCACGCTGCTGCTTTCAGGGTTGAGTCGTGAGGAACACTGACCCAACAGGAGAACCCCCCTCGCTGGGCTACATTTTTAAAGGTTTACAGAAAAGAGCACTTATTTGGGGAAAGAATAAAGTATGTCTTAAATGGACATCTTGGTTGCTATTTCAGAATCTGTATTCCAAGATATTAACATGTTTGAGATATCAGTGGTATTCATCACACCCGTGTTATGCATGAGATATCTTTACCGCTATTAGAACATCAATTTTACCAAAAGAAAAGTAAGTCATCTGAGAAACTGAAGATCACATTTAGGTTATCCCACAAAATCAGCATAAAAATAAAAACTTAAACCTGGTATTTACAGATTAACAAATAAAAATATGAAGTGGGACTATCCAAACTGCTATTAAAGTGACATTCAACAATTAACTGGAACCCTGATATGAGTGTAACATCTGCCCTCTTCCCTTCCTTTTTTGTTATAAAAACAGTATTTACATTTTCTTTTTTTTTTTTTTCTCAAGAGAACTGGTTGACATTATTGCTTGATCCTTTTTAGGAAAGACATTCCAATGAAGCAATTATTCCACATGCTGACAAAACACAGAATATACCATTTCAAGAGTGACAAAAGTTAACATTTTGTTCATCTAAAAATTATATTCATCTGCTAGGTCAGCAGATCACATGTAAATATAAGCCAATCAAAAATACATTTTACAAAAAATAATCAAGTTTCCTTTTTCAATATGGCAGTAAACATAATTTGTTCTTTCACTCTCAACTTCCACAAACTTCATTCTAAATAGGAGCTTACGATTTTTTCACAAAAAAAAAAAAAAGATAAATTTGATTAAAATTGTTATTTTCATAAACAAACACAAAGCCCAGCCTTACACCTGTCGTGTCTACCAGAAGTCACACTCCTGAGTCGCCGAACACCTATGTAGAAATGCAGTCTTTGTTCAACAGTGAAGGGACTTTCCTGGTGCACAGCACTCCTAGATCAAACGTGACAATCTTTCACGGCTTTCGGAAGTGCTAACTGTGAACCACCAGTTCCTCTTCCAGGCAGGTCTAAAGTGACTATCCTCCCATATCTGAAAAGATACAGCTTTGTATTTGACTATGAATATTAAGCAGCTTTCTCCACAAAACAGGAAGGCACCATGCACATAGCAGTTGAGGCAGGAAGCAAACAGCAGCAACATGACATGTGAATTTTAGGTTCAGATGAGTTAAGGCTTCTGTTAAACTTCTTTATCTTCTTCTAGTTAGAATCACTATCTGCAAAGAAAAAACAGAAGCCACTGAAGTAATGGTGTGACATGGTCAAGCAAGCAGCCAGACCCCTCTCGGTGTCTGCAGCAGGACAGCCCCCCCCCCAAACACACATTACTGTTGTGGTATCACCTTGGCCTCATCTATTTAATGCGCTAAACGCTCAAGAGCTGCCCAGAATACTGCTGAAACCACATCCACCAAGGGTTTCAAAAGGTGTGCAAGCCTCACTGACTCAATGACAGACTCATCCTTGCTCAAGGGGAACTCCATGAAATCGCAGCACAAACAGACCCGCTGTCGTTACACCGAAGTGATCTGCAGAGCAGCAGCAAAACTCTTATCACCTGTGGATGACAACGTCACTTCTGCGAACACTGCTCTGCCTCAGCACGGAATTATTTCACATGCCTGGGTGCACACTTCATGGTAAGTCAGTCTGCTTCAACGCCTGCGCTCGCAGAGTCGTTATACTGGCACAGCAAGGAAACATTTCCCACGTGTGTTTCTATCACTGCACACTTTCACTCAGCAAAGCCACTC